ACAGTGCTGTGAATTGCAGATCAAATCCTCTTCCCAGCAGAGCCCCCTCCCAGATGTTGCTCCTCAAACTGGTGATGGGAGACATCCCAAGACCTTTGGTACCACCCTGACCCAGGGCCTGCAAAGCATGTGAGACCCAGAGCTTTTTGGCTGATGCTTCAGCTGGTCCCGTCCCAAAGTCAGCTAGAATCTATGAGTGCGCGGGCTGCCCGGGGAGCGAGAGCCGCTGAATCAATAAACATGCTGCATTCCCGACCTCGGGGGATTGCTGCTTCCTAGAAAATTATAAAGGCTTAGTGTTGATTGGGAGAGAGCTTGTGTTTTTCTCTCTGACCCATTCACCCATATCAACTGTAAAGAAAAAAGGCAACCTTCCCACCTGACCCCAACCACACTGGTGAGGCAGCACAGAAAAGCATTAATTGTACCACAAGAGACGGATGCTCGGTAGGTTCAGAGGCAGGAGCTCGCAAGCAAACTACTACAGGCCAGCACATAAAAATGACGTGACACCAAGTGTCGTGTACGGGGAGCACAAGCTGAATTATTACAGGCGCGGAGATAATGTACCCCACTTGGAGAGAATGGTCTCCCCTCGTGCGACCGTAAACCCTGAGCTGTAACCCTAATGGAGAGGGTAAGTATTGTTTCCGCTTTACGCACAGGGACGTTGAATTGGCTAGACCGAGACTGCACCGTAACGCAGGGCAAGCGGGAAATGGGACCCAGGCTGCAGCCAGACACCCTGCTTTAAACAGCAGAGGATGTGCCACCACGATTATATCTGTATTTGCATAAACACACAATCAAGCTTCTCCATCCCCTTGACTGGCTGCTGGCAGCACCCCCAGGCTGACTCTTACTAACATACCGTGGATATAAAATGTCCCCCTGGGAAAAATCAGACCCAGAAAGCACGGCAGTGAAACGAGCACACGTCTAATTCCCCTATGAGACGATAAGAAAAATTCCTGCTGTTAGCTTTCATCTGCTTGCTTCCAAAAAAAAGAGAGGGGGGGAGCATGATGCCTTCTTGTTAGCAAAAGGGGAAAAAATCCTCATAAAAAATGAAGATAACACAAGTCATCTCCACTGGGTGATTTGGAAATGAAGGGATCGTGCTCTTGGACTTCCAGTGTGTTCAGCCCACCCCAGGCAGCACAGAGCCAGGCTGCTCACCATCAAAGTCTGGCTCTTCCCGTCTCCTTCTCCCCCTGCAACTGTTTTTCAAAATGGACAACCCCATGGACTACATCCTCTGGACAAGGGGGAGGGAGGGCTCGGTGCAGGAGCTGAGGGGCCAGGGAGCAAGGCAAAAACAGCTGTACTTATGTCCCTCTGCGCCCGGCTGGTTTTGCTCCTGGCACAACTTATGGGAATCCCTGCTTGTGCCACGTTACGCTGACCTTGACGTCAGGTTGGGGATCGCTGGAACGCAGCCGTTCTCAGACAAGCCCCACTCCCTGCTCCGGGAACTTCCCAAGGTAAGACAATTCATGGAGACTGGCTCTTGAAGAATATAAAGTTGATGCACGAGCGTAGGGGACCCACCCCAGCACTACTGACAGGAGGATGGGGGAAGTTAGCAGCCTTGCAAAATCCTACTCTCCCCTTTTTTAAGTTCTTAAAAATGGTGCATAAAACCTCCAGGGTTTTTTTGAGTCATCCCTACCCCTGGCAACCCCTTTATGGTATATATAGAAAAGCAACTCTTGTCCCTGCATGATTCATTCCTGAGGATTTTGCAAGGCTGCATTGAAAGTGATTTAAAACAACCCAAAACCTACTTGTTTCCTTAGTTTCCACCTCCATCTATGACCAGGGCAAATGATAACGTTGCCATCATCCTCACAGCAGCAGCAAGGGCAAGAAGGGCACCTGAGAAAGGCATCGCCCACAAGTTGTCTCTCTGAAGGAGTCACCTTTAGGGTGGTGCCTGTGGCTGCTGCTGTGAAGAGGAGACTCTGCACGGTGTTGGTGTTTCGCATCCAGATGCTCTTCGTCAAATCCAATTTGGGATGCGAATGAGCCAGGATGTTCTGCTGGCTCGGAAGAGCTGAATTCCTGCCAGGTGAGCTTTTTTTTCTTCCTTTTTCCGTTTTTTTTAAGTCCATGTCCCCCAAAGCTCCTACAAGGCGAAGGAGCAGGGAGCCAGACCAGATCCTCCTCCTCCGCTGCTGCTTGCGGAGCTACAATGGGAAGCGAAGCCGGTAGAGGAGCGTGGGACCAGAACTAAAGGATCTAGCCACACTACAAAGGAGGGGGTCTGCCCTGCGGGGCCAAGCTGAGCACCCACCTGCTTGCTTGGTGGTGGTGGTTTTGGGTGCTGTGGTGGTGGTGGTGGTAGCTTTTGTGGTGGTAATTCTCCGTGGTCGCTCATAGACTACCGGGAAACAAAGAAAAGATCGGGAAAGAAGGGACTTGAGCCTAGGGAAGGCTCTTTATGAGTCTGTGTTCAGACGTAAGACTCTTCAGGAGTCTTGCTGTTGCTTTCTACCCATCCACAACCTGTCAAAGCTCATCGGTGCTTTCATTTTCACCGATTCTTCCAGTGACAGAGGCTCACAGCAAGTACCTGCTCCCACTCCAGTCTGTGCCACAGCGTCTGTTAACTTCAGTGGGACAGAATTTGATCGGAGCTCCATGTAACCCCCATGCCATTGCCGTCCATCTAATGAAGGCCTAAAAAATGCTCATTATCCCCTCCTAACTTGCCAGAGCCCTAGGAATGGACCCATGGGAACATCTTGTTCTTGGGTCCGCTGTCTTGCACCCCACAGCCCCCAGCAAGCATATTATACAAATTACATCTGCATATAGCACTGTTGATTTAAGGTGTACATCCCCAAAAGAGTTCAAAGTGACCAGGCCCTCAGCTGGTAGACATGAAATTCAAGCACAAGCCACCTCCTCCGAATGCTCTACCTCCAAGGGCTGGCGATACTGAGAAGCAGGTTGCTGGACCCTCTGTTTCTTGGAGGGAGAAAAACCAGAAAAATGTAAGGACTCAGCTGCAGGATATGTACAGAAGCAGCTGCTGGGTTGGGAGGAGCAACCAATTTTAAAGAAAATTTACAGCTGGGACTCAATTAAATGGCCGAGGGAAACCAAGGCACATTCCAGCTTGGCAAGACTGGAAACTCTGTGCGTGGATGCGTCTGCGTGCGCTGGGGCTGAGTTGTTACTGAATTTTACTTGGTTGGCAGGGAAGTCGGTCCAAATGTTGCCAGCTGTATGACAACTTTAGTTCATTAAGCTGCAGCAGGCAAGGGAGAGGGAGAATCTGTGCAAACGAGACTCAGGCAGAGGCAAAGAGAGGTCTGCGTTTCAAAGTCATATAGGAGCAGAAACTGGGCACGAGCCTTTCCTGCCTGACAATAGCTTTGCCATCTTTCTCATCTATGCATGAGCGCGTTGTGCCAGATGGCAAAGATACTCCCAGCCAAACCTCCAAATCAGCAAGATGGTTGCCTCCTGCTGCCCAGAAGGCAGCGGACAGCCCAGCGTTGTAAAGACAATCCAGAGCCTTTTCATTTATTCAATTCCATTAAAGAGGACATTAGATTATTTTAGTTTAAATGGGCCAAACTGCCTGCTGGGAGAAGTCCAGCAAAGGCAGCGGCGCCCTCAGGACGTGACAGCATCCCAGGAAACACTCGCTGATGCTGTGCCTCCCTCTCATTCACGCAGCTCTGAACACAGCCACGGGAATGGAAACAACGATCCTTCACGGTGTTAATAGAGTCCTACCCAGTACCTACCTTCACCCTCTGCCTCGAGTCCCTGCTTGTGTCACAACCTTGTGTAGATTATTGTGCTTAATTCAGAATAACCCTTAGCTTGTTTAAATGCCATACTTACTCCAGGTCACCTCTTGTCTCTGGGAAAGGGGAAATCAAAATAATCCCCCTTTAGCTGGTTTCTGTCCATACCCAAACCTGCACTTTCCACTCGCTATCCCACCTTTGACGTTTTCTGCTGGACTGTCTCTAGCCTCACCCTGTTAAAGCAAAGTGAAGTTTTTTTAGTCCGAAAATGATTGCAGGAAAAAACAGAGTTGGCAGCATCAACGTGTCCAAAGAATTTACTCAGGTTTCACCGAATTGATGGGGTTTTGCTTTGTTTTGGGGGGGGGGGAATAAAAAAATGGAAAAGTTTTTTGTTTCAGCATTTGCAAGCAGTTTCCAGTTTTTAATTTGATGTTACTTTCAAAGTGGTCTTGAAAGTTGTTTTAAATCTAAGCCAAAAAGCTTCATTTGGCCAGAAACCATTTTTATGGCCTTTCCACTTGTTGAAATTTAAAAAAAATTATATTTGATTTAACCTGAAAATGATTTTTCTCTCTGTGTTTTGGATGCAGCAGCAAACTGAAAAACGCAGTTGGCCCAGCCAGCTATTTCACGATTTTTTAGAGAATCGCCCTGGTCTCAGAGTTCAGAGCTGGGCTGCAGCTTGCTCGAAGCATGAGGTGTTTCGTCTGAGACGCTCTCTGGCCCTTTCAAATCAGGAGCCATAGTGGTACCATCCATCTTTCGGCAGAAATCCACACCGAACTTTTCTGCCTTAAATGATATACGAGTATTTTTGTGGGTAGCAACCCATGGCTCGAGGATCCAATCTGGATGGTCTGGCAAAGAATTTGGAGGAGAAAAAGAAAAAAAAGCAGCTCCATCTTGGAGCACGACACTATGGAAAGGGGGAAAAGTTCACAGCGATCGCTGGCGTTTTTGAACGTCTGTTTTATTTCCTTTCCCGCAGCCATGCTAACGAACCTCGTGGGGAGAAACCACGCCAGAGGAAGAGACAAAATGAGGCTACTGAAGCCAAAGAAAGAAAACATAAGGGTCTTGATAGAAGAGAAAATGAGATGCCATTAGAGCAGACGTATTGCCTGGAAGATGATAATGGACAGAAAATAACCATTGTTTTCATATGACGCGCGCAGGGGGCCATGCACTGAGGATGTCAAATGCCAGCATTGCAGTTAGGGTTTTACTTACTGCCGAACGCTGAGCCTGCAGCCGCACCTGGAAGAAACAAGAAGCAGCAGGGTCAGCAAAAGCCAAGAAGCCGTTGTATTAATTAACAAGAGTCTTGTTCAGAGTCGCACCAGCTTGCTGCCACGTCTGAAAAGCAGCCTCTGGCAAACCACAGGGGTGACCACTGGAAACGCCGGAGACTTGAGACAGGCTGAGACCTACCTACGGTGACCCGGGGAAGAAAAGCCACTTGGTCCCTGCTAATAGTTTCCTCTTGGCCCTTTCCCTGACCTACCCTTACACCCAGTACAGGTGATGTGTGCTTCCGGGGTTTGTCATGCTGTCCGCACGCAGCCATTGAGCTGCTGTGGGGGTTTCTCCTCTGGACTGATAGCAGGCCCTGACTCATGAATTGCTTGGGTTGGGGGTTAGATTATTTTTTAGGCTTGTCTAAGAAAGACGGAAAGATGAGTTCACAGATGTTGGGGACCTTACAAGATCATCGGGCAGGAAAGACTACTGGGGTCAGATGACCCCAGCAAAGCGGGCTGGGCGGGGGGGCTCTATGGGCCATGCCTTGCTGGGGTTTTCAGACTTGGGGTTTTTAGTGGAAAAGGATTCTCAGAGATCTTTCTCTCAGGGTGGATTCATCGGGATACCATGGGACTGGGTGCCAGTTTTTAACCCTTCCAGCTGGTTACTGGTTGTGACAATAGGACCATGTTGGGGGGATGGATGCGATGAGGGAAAAGGGAAGGAAAGAGAGAAATGGAGAGACAGATGGAAAAGAAGGAAGAAGAAGGGTGGGATAACAGCATGTTGCAGGGCTTTTGAAGGAACACAGGCACTTGGAGGTAGCTGACAAGCTCGTTCCCTTTCAAAGAACCTGCTCATCTACCATCGCTGGGATGCGTGCAACATTCCCGTCACGGCCTGCCGAGCCCGGGCTTCAGCTTTGATCATCTTAAAGCGCATAAATCTTTCAAAAATTTTGGGGAGGTGGAGGATGAAAAAAAAGGGTTCCTTTAGCGAATGCTCAAAGCCGCTGTTTAAAAGGGCTGGAGCGGTTCCTGCTGCTTTGTGACATGAAAGTGAGCTGGCTAGTGCGACTCGGAGCAAACCCCAGAGGCACAGAGGCCTACAGCTCATCTTCCACCACCAAAACCCCCCGCTTGGAGGCTGCTGGTTTGCAACCTTGATGTCCTGCTAGTTCATATGCAACCTAGCTGTAGCGAGGAGACGGGGCTGTGGCTGCACGGGTGGTCGTGGACACTCAGGGCTGCTTCCCGGGGTCCAAGATTCTGTGTCACCTCTGGGTGACAGTAAACAGGGCACCCAGTGCTCACGGCTGTGTCCTTTTTACCATCCCATACTATGCAAGGATTGGCCCCGTGGCTTTTCTACAGATGCATGCTGTTTTCTTTAAGAGATGCACAGTAATTTAGAGTGAAATACCTAACCAAGGCCATGGTCTGGACCCATTCACCACAGCCTCAGGCCATCTTCTCATCCTCCTTTCAGTCCAGTCGTGGTCATTGATCTCCCTTTCCTTCCACCCAATCCTCTGCATGTCCCAAGAACATTCACCTGCCCCGTGGCACTAAAGCATCCCTCTGGCCCGTACTCTTGCCTGGTCTTAATGGGCCAAGAGGTGCCACAAGCCACTTACATGCATTGGGGGATCCGTTGGGCAGAGGCAGGTAGGACCCAGCTCGCCAGGACCGGGAGCGGAAGTTCTTCTTGCACTTCCCGCAGTCCTGCCCGGTGGTGTTGTGCTCGCACTCGCACTGAAGGCTGCCCTCTTTGAAGGTGCACAGGTTGGCATGGAGGTTGCATTTACACCTGCGGGAGGGAAACCAGAGAGGAGATGGCAGTCGTGGCACCACCCGCTCCTTTCCCAGCAAGACAACAGAGGTGAACTCGCACTTGTCCCCCCCTTGCCTGTTACTGGGAGCAGGGTTTTCTGGCATTCAACAGCATTCCTGCTGCACCTGGCATCTGAGTTATGACATCATTTGAGTTATGACATCATTTGAGTTATGACATGGCGTCTTTCTGTGGCGGATATTCCAGTGAGAGTTGTATCCTGCTTTATCCATCTGATTGAGACACAGGAGGATATGCCAGCTTAAAAATGTGACTGGAAAGTGTTGCAGCTCATCCTGTTAAAATGAAGGCTCTAGATGTCAGGTCACTCACTGAGCCACCACATTTTAGGCTCCTATTGCTCCTTTTGTTTAGGTGCCTACATTTGGATTTAGATGTCTGAGTTGAAGCATCCAGGCTTGAACTTGTTGCTCCCCTTCTATGGCTTGCTTTTCTCACTAGGAAAAAGGGGGCACTGAAGCCTTTCTCCCAGAGGATGCTCTGAGATGCATTCACCCTGTGCTTTGAGGTCCTCGCATCTGCGGAGGCATTTGACAAATGCTCAGGTCTAGATTCTGCACCGACTCATCCCCCATGCAGCACCGCTGAGTTCCCCCGAACGGAAAGCAGTCAAAGTCAGGGCTGCATTTAGCCTTGAAAGATGATTGCTACTGGTGAAGCTGACAATCACTTGCCCAGTACTAGGCTGACTCCAGCAAATTCCTTTCATCCCCGATGCGAGGCACACTGCAGTTAAACGCACCCTCCATACATTCATGCGTTGATTCACCCAAACCCCACAAAGAGCTTCTCATATTTTGCCCAAGCTTTGAGCAGAGGATGGGAAAGCCTGACTCTGGGATTCATCTGGGGAGCATTTAGACATTTACTTTCTCCTTCTGAAAGTTGTTGCTCTTGGGCGATGAGGCTCATAGAGGAACCAGTTCTGTTTATTTTAACGGGAACGACGATTGCTGAGGCACGAGCTAAAATTCAGAGCGTTTCCTTCGGGCGGCAGACTAGCGATGCCACGTGGAACGTCTCACCTTGAGGCTGCTACGTGGCATGCGGCCCAGCCCCTCGACTGGAAGCTGTAACCAGCCGATGGCTAGCGAAGCCCTGCCTGAGGTGACGTCGGTGGGTCCCAGCTCACGTCTTAGTGGACAACCCGCCATTGCATCCAAGCAAATGGCCATCGCTGTTTGCTCTCGTAGTAGCAGCCTTGCTAGCAAAAGCAAGGACTGGAAGCACGGCCTAACAGTCTGCAAGCCTCACACCATAAACTTTTAATGAACCGCTCCAAGGTTTGTACAGTAAATGTTTTCCCCCAATGTGTTCATTATGAATCTGGGGAGCAACGGTTAGGTGACTTCTAGAGACAGAGCCAGCTTTAGGGAAAAAGGTGCCCTGGGTGAACTCGTATTTTGGTGCCCCCCTCACCTCCCCCTCCCCACAAGTCAGTGGCACCGCCGCAGGCAGGGGTACTGGGCAGACGGGCACCAATGCTGGCCCGGTCCGGCTCCTCCTGAACAGCAGCTGGAGGCAGGGGCAGCTTGGGCTGGGCTGGGCACTGTGCTTGGGGCAGAGATTGCTGCTCTGACTGCAGGTTGCTCACATGCATACGTGTGTGTGTGGTGCCCCCCAGACCACAGCATCCTGGGCAGTTGCCCACATCACCCACCCCTAAAGCCAGCTCGGTCTAGAGTCACAGCAGTTGACAGAGTCGGAGCCGAGATTAAAACACATGGCTCACCGGCCCCTGCTCAGTCCATCAGACCTAGAAGCTACAAAGACTAAACTCTCTTCTTATTTTGGAAGCCGTCCTCCTGGGTTCGGCCTGGGCTGCAGTGGCTTGTTTCTTCATTGCCTGACGCCCCAGGTTACCCGTTTGCACACGTGTGACAGGGCAGCCATCTGTATCATTACACGGAGAAGTCTAACGGGGCAGCGCTCCGTTTTTGCAGGTGCAACTGAGCCCAAGGTGGAAGAGGGTGGAAAATCAGGCCCGTTGATGAGGTTGGGGAAGCATGCCAGCAGTGGCCGTTCTGCCCGTGCTGTATCCGTTCTGCAGACGGAGAGGACGTCAGCCTGCAATGCTATCGTCTTCCGCGGCGCTGCAGCTGGTCAGGAGAAAAAGCTCCAGGAGAGGCTGTGAATACTCCTGGAAGGGAAGTTTCCTGGGGAGCTCCAGAGACTCCCACCCCCGCATCTTGGATCCAGTGAGTCCGTCCCTACTGTGCTTCTATTTCCGTGTGGCTAGACAGCTTCGCTAGTGAGCTATTTTTGTTCTTATTCCCAGCAAACTTTTTTTCTCACAAACCAAGCGAAACCTGGGTCCAGAGTCCCTCCACCCCATTGCACAATGCTTGCTCCCACAGGGAAGGGAAAACGGCCTCTCTAAAAGGGAGGTGCAGGAGCACGCTTGGCCTGGCGCCGTGCACAGTGTGAGCCCGGAGGCTGCCGGGCCACGGCTGAGAGCGCTAGCAACTGCAGCGCTGAAATACTCTGGGGACCGGCGTGCAGATCAGAGCTTGTTAATGGAAGTGGCCTTGGCCAGAGGACGCAAATGAGGGTCCCTGCACCCCAGCTGCGCTGGGCTCGTCCCTCCAACTCAGAGGGAGAAGGATTTCTGTGCTGCTGGTCTAACCTTTTGAATAGGCAATGACCAGCACTCGGGTGCTGTGGAGCCTGACTCTGAATTATTTAGACTCTACAGAACGCTGCCTCCCTCTTGCTTCAAGATTAGCAACGGGAGGAGGAGGGCTGGGGGTGGGGGGAAGGCAAGGGAGATAGCAGGTTAAAGCAGGTCGCAGCCTCACCACTGTTGAGCTGGGCCAGACCTCGGTCTGCGAAAAAAAGGCATCTGGGAGACAGAGCGCTGCTCATGCCTTCCTAATGGGAGCAGTGGCCTCTGTGATGCCACCCTGGCATCCATGACAAAAAAGCCAGCACGCCGAGCTAGGGTTACGTACGCGGGCCTGCATGTGCCGATAGCGCTGACCGAGAAGAATGGGGCAAAGGACATTTCCCCCTTCCTAATTCAAGCCCAGAAGACCCCAGCATAGTCAGAGCGGAGGATGGGGAGGGACGGCGCTTGGGTCGTCCCAGTTCGGGTTGAGCAAGCAGGCCAGGTACTTCCCTGCGCGGGAAGTGCAACGCTCAATGAACTCCTTGCAAACACTTTCACGAGGTGGTAGCGGAGTGCCCCTGCTTGGCCACGCGCTCCGCCACCGCCGGCCACGGGGACTGGAGGCCACTACCGGGCACAGGTCTCTCGACCCAGCACAAGCGCTCGTAGAAATGCCATGCTGTATTGAGAGGGCAGCTGAGTCCACTCGGGTCTGAAATGTAAAAGCTTCCTCATGCTTCACAGCCCTCCTCTAGGCAGGAAGCTGTTCGCCATCATCTGCCTTTCCATGGGAGCAGCAGAGGCTAACTAGGCTTATTCAGCGCCACTGGCCTGTAACTCCCTGGAGAGCGGTCTGCCCCTTCGTATGGCGGAAAGGCACTGCTGAGCTGCCAGGGCCCGCTCCGGGTGACACTGGGCTTTTTATTAACCCCAGAGGGCCTCTCCTGCTGTTCTGCAGGGTCGGTGTCTCTGCCCTGCTCCTCCCGGCATCTCCCCCCACAACCTCAAGCAATGCTGGAGACTACCGCTCTGGACATCCCTTCCACCACCTCTGGGAGCAAATAGGGCTCAACGTGGGGTTTCCTTGCAGAGCTCCTGGCCTTAGAGCATGACATCTGGACCTTGCAGGCCTCTGCTCCACAGCAGGACCCAGCAGCTCTGCTCCACAGCAGGACCCAGCCTGATTTCCAGCCCCTACAAAGTTGGGGTGGGGGCTGTGGCCCTGCACAGCTCTGTAGCCGAGGAGGATGTAAAGCAGTCAGGCACTAGCAATGAGGCAGGTTCCTGGGAGCTCCATGACTGCACCTGGGAAAGGGCTGGTTACCTTCTTCTGCCTGTCTGCAGGGCCAGGGCGATGCCGGACAGGCCCCTCGGACCAGCCGCAGCAGCCTGCTCCAGCGTGCCGCGCTGTCGGAGCACGTAGCGACGACTGGGCACTGTGCTTCTCGGAGGGGGACCGCACGTTCTCAGCCGTGTCAACAAGGAAAGTTAAATATAGAGGAAACAGCGGCAGCCTGTCGCCCTCCCCATCCGGGCCCAGGTCAGCTCTTCTCACCGCCTGGCCCCAGCCACAGCGCAAAAAAAGTTCCCTGCATCCAAAGGATCAATGTTGCCAGGGAATTGCTTTCTGAATTCGACCTTCGAGAATCATCAATCTAACCAGAAAACTCTAACCTGAGCAGCCTGACCCCGCAACACAGCACTTTTCAGACCAATCAATCAGGATGCATTATTTAATAATGAACAGTCAAGCAGCTTCAGGCAGCCCGGGCTGCCATGCCTATTGGGTGCCTGCTGCCCGGAGCAAACGCTTCCACTCCCATCCCGGGTACCCCACGTGCCACCCAGGACCCCACCCTGGGGCCTCTTTTAACTCCTTCCTCAGGCTTGACTGTGTTAAAATGACTTCTCCTCCCCACATTGTTATGCCTCCAGAACAAGGACACACACACTTCATCTTGGCAGAGTGTGGGGCACGTCTTTCTCTAGCCAAGATCCAGCTGGTGGAGAGTGGGGAAAATAACATTAGCCCAGCCCTGCAGGCTTTGGCTGCAAGTTCTGCTTGTTCCTGGTGGTCTT